AAAAAAAAAAAAAAAAAGTGAGCGGCGCGGCGGGGGAAGTGCACTCTCTCCCCCCTCCCTCTCTCCCTTCGTCTTAGCTGTGTTGTGCGCGACGAGGTGGAGAGGACCGTTCACACTATGCCCCAAAACCAACTTGGTGGTCTCCCCCGGCGTGTGCGAAGTACATCCCCTCTCTCTCTCTCTCCCGCCCTACATCCCTCCTTCCCTCCTCGCTCTGTCCTCGTTAAGGGGTGCAGCTCCATTCTCTGTGGGGGTGCGATGTTGCAAATGGGACAGGATTTATGCACGGCCGCTATCGAAAGCAGGATCATACTGTGCAGCAGGCAGGAGAGAGTCGCTATCAAAATCTTGAGAGGGTGGAGGAGCAGGAGGAGGGGGAACGGGGACGGTGGGGATGCAGGATCAGAAGTATGAGAGCGCGTCTTGATTTGCACGCAGGTTGTGAACGAGGAAGACGTCGAGGAGGGGTCCTTAAAGTGAATGGTAAGAGGATGAGGATATCGGTGGGGGACGGAATCTGCGAAGAAGGGGATGGGCAGCGCGGCTTGGGAGGGGGCCGATTAGGATATGGGATCGAGAGGAGGGGAAAGTGGGAATGCCAGCCAATCAGGGTGAGGATGTAAGAGCTTATGAAGTGCAGGGGAAAGAAGGCCAAGGCAACAGGGTAAGGAAGGGAGGTCGTGTAGGGGGGGCGATCCGGACAAGGTGGGGAAGAAAAGAGGCAGGAAGAGGGGCTCAGCGCGGAGGGAGGGAACAGGTAAGGAGGAAAGGGGAGAGAAGGATAATGATGAAGGGGTTGAATCACGAGAGGGGTCGGGTGAAAATGGATATATGCTGGTGAGAGAGAGAGAGAGAGAGAGAGAGAGAGAGAGAGAGAGAGAGAAGAGAATCCCAACGGAGGAGAGACGGGAAGAGAGTGGCGACAGACATAGGACAAGGAGAGGAGAGGGTGGGCAAAAGTGGATTGGTGGGGGAATGGAGAGCTCAAGTTGAAAGATGGAATCGGATAGGCGGAAGGGAGGCAATGGAGAAGTAAGAAAAGGAAAAACGCGACTGGGCAGGGAAGGGAGAGAGAGAGAGAGAGAGAGAGAGAGAGAGAGAGAGAGAGAGAGAGAG